CTATTCATGGATTTCTCCAATGTATAATGTGTAATTCTCCAAAAGGCTAGGATGCATCACGCTTGTTTTTTAAACAGTGGAATCATCCACTGTTTAACAATGGAATCGTCCACTCCATTCTGTTAGACAGTATTTCGACAGAATTCAATTCTCATAAATCCAAATATAATACTCACCTCAACAAGATTCAATGTTAAATCTAAAGAAGCTTTTCTGAAACGTATCAATTCTCATTTCCCCTGTGCTCCTACATTATTTTCCACATTTGGGAAATTTGGGATCTGTGACCAGTCTGAAATCATAAAATTTAGTGCTGATAATGCAGGAAACCCAGCTCTCTCGTGTTATTCCAACCATACAGCAAAGGTGAGAGGGGAGCAACTTAAAATGCATTTAATCATTTGTGTCTCTGATAACATGCAATTTCCAACTTGCGTCACCATTTTGGTTTGGGACAATTCCCATTACAAATTATAAATCAGGAGGAGGCTTCATGCTGTTAATTAAATAGCCACAAAATTATAATCTTTATACCTCATAAAAATAAAATTCATAACCAACAAACTACATTAAATTATGTACTCAGAGAATTATCACTCTTCCTCATGCATGCTTTAAATTGGTCATATGGTATTGTCCTCTTGGAGACTACTAACAAGAGATATTCCATAATAAAATAAGTGAGGGAAGACTCACAAGTTAATGAAATGAAAGGAATACTGGCGTTCTATCGATATTCTTATTTGGCATTTCATAAGAGGATTAACAACAACAAAAAACTTTAACTGATGGCACAAAAGAATTTGGATTATCTTGTAAACCATTCCAATTTCTGTAACAAGAATTTCTGTGCTTGCCATTACCAATCCCACTCGTCCCTACATACACACTATCATCATCACCACCACCTACCACAAGCTTGCATCTGCAAACTGTTAAAGGCTTAAATATGGCCTCTTAAAAAAATGGATTATGTATAAATGCTAGTTATCTGGGAACCAGGAGGGAAACACTGATCACATTCCGAGCCAATAAGAACAATGCTTGTGCTGGGTTACATTTTGGATTCTTTTCAGTAATGCTGCGTGGCTGTCAGTTCCAGAGCACCCTGCTGTACTTGCTGTTGCAAGAAGACACAAATGGGAGCTGGAGGGAAGACAATATCTGACAGGAGGGAGTCAGAGAAAGTGTCGCACAGATCATGCTTAAACTTGGATGTAAAGGAAAAAGAGAAATCAACCAAGTTAATAAGAAGGGGATGAGCATGATGCCCAAGGGCGGGGTGGGGGAGGGCGCACAGGCAAAGGCACAGAAGCATGAGAAAACGCAGCAGATTGGAGAACCTGCAGATAATTCTGTACAATGTGGAATGTCAGGAGGCCAGATTTGAAGTCAGGCAGGGTAGATCATCAAGAGCTTCGGATATCAATCAAAGGAGTTTAGATTTTATTTTGTAGGTAATAGGAGCCATCTAGCCATGTAGAAAAATTATTCCAGTAGAAAATTTCAGAATTAACTGGAGAAGGGCAGAACTATTAGGAGCAAATGATTACCATTTTGGTTTTGTTTTTTTTAATTTTTTAAATGTTTATTCCTTTTTGAGAGAGAGAGAGAGAGAGAGAGAGAGAGAGAGAGAGAGAGAGAGAGAACGAGTAGGGCAGGGGCAGAGAGAGAGGGAGACACAAAATCCAAAGCAGGTTCCAGGCTCTGAGCTGTCAGCACAGAGCCCGATGTGGGGCTCAAATCCACAGACCACGAGATCATGATCTGAGCCGAAGCTGGATGCTTAACTGACTGAGCCACCCAGGTGTGCAAATAATTACCATTTTGTGAATGAAGAAAGAAATAATGGCAGTAAAGAGAGATGCAGAAAGATAGAAGGAGAAGACAAGTTTGGAGTTCATTCAAAAATTCAATCAGGAGTCCAGTTATCTTTCCACTTATCACCAAGATGTGCCAAAGGTTATCATTCCTTCTCTAATATCCCATATAATTTCATAAGGTTTTAGTAAGAAAAAAAAAGAAATTGCCAAATAGAAGTGATAAAGCTAACTACATTAGAAAATCTTTCCTATAGTAAGCAAAAACAAAAAAAAACTGGGGCACATTTTCGCACTATCTCAAAATAATTTGTACTCAACATAACACCCGAAATCTAGAGTGATTTTTCAGGGCTAAAGTACTTATATCAACAGGAGAATTAAAAAGGAAGCCATTACTGTTACATGATTTTAGTATAAAACACAAGATCTTATAACAAAATAATTTAACAAAATGTAGAAACTACAGAACCAAATGATCTTCCCTTATTATTAATACTATGACCCTGACTGTATGATTCTCAGTCAATCTCAATACAGGTAGATACCTTTTCTCCAAACTGGATATTTCGTCTAAGTTTGCCTTCCCTTTCTACGCGGAGAAAACTTCCTGAACAAATTATAAACACACCAAGACACTGTTTGTAACAGACATCTATGGTTTTGTCTCCCAGCACTCCTCACCCATTTTTGGAAACTGACCCTCTCCCACTTACCCCCCCACCCTTAACCTCTTCTATCCCTGTGAATGTTATGCATAGCACCATGCTTGTTCAATGTGTGGTCGATGGCCCAACTAACACCCCGTTCCTAGATACCCTCTCTGTCATGACCTGTCTCTGTACTTTACCTTCGCTCTCATAAAGGCCACGCCCTAGCTGGAAATCACCACTAAAGACTGGCTGTACTTCTGTTACAACATGGCATCTCACCACACCCATAAACCCCTTTCCCTCTTCTTACTTCCATTTCATCTGTTCAGTTTCACCCAATCTTCCAGCTTCTGTACACTCCTCCCAGACTATCAATCTTCCTTACCTCCTTTCCATGACCAGCCAGACCCCTGTTAATCAAAACAATAACTTTTTTATTAGAACCTTCCATTTATTTCCCATCCTTTGTTTCCAATACAGCAAGCCTGAGCAGTCCCCACCCAGATGAATCACTCTCAAATTCTGTTCCAGGTGACTGAGCTCTCATAAAGAAAAATGCTTAGCAGTTCAGATCGATGTCATTCCAGTTCATAATGGCTAACCCCAACAAGCCCTCCGTGATCATCAGTAATGCTTCTGTTTGTTCCTAGGCAGGTGATAGCTATATTCCCTAGGGTCGCTGTTCCAAACCTTAACCACTTTCTTAAACCTCCTGCATCATCCAATCATTCCACCTTTATCTTTATTTATTTTTTTTTATCTTTAGCTCTTCCTTGTTCATAGTCAAACAGAGATCATCAGGTGGTAGGCCACTTACCTCTCTACTCCCCCACCCCAATGGACCTATCAGAATATCAAACTTTATCTCTCTCATGAAAATTTCTGAGGAACTGGAGTCTCTCTTCCTGTCCCCACTAAGGCCATTATTTCTACCTGTGTCCTAAGTCACAAAGCAAAGAAGCTTTCAGAGTTGCTCTCCTCCTCTGTCTTTATCTTCACTTCAGCCTAGCTCTTTCCCCCAAAATGACAAGCAGATCAATTAATCTCACTCCTCAAAACCAGCACCACCCACTGCCACGCCCAACACAATCTTTCCATGGTCCTTCTTCCATTTTTAGCTACTTCCTATCTCCTTTCATTTCCTCACCAAACTTCTTGAAACTATGTACATATATAATAAACATAAAATATGTACCTTTTATAAATGTATGTAATAGAAACAGAGGACAATAGTTTAAGGAGTAGAGATTGCAAAGAATACAGAATTAATACTATGTGTGTGTATATCTATGTTTCAATTTGTTTTTTCCTGAAACAATTGCCATCTGTTTCTAGCCAAACTTCTAGATTAAAAATACCTACAGTGTGTCACCTATGATCTTATAATTACTAAATTCAATGTTTTATTACCAAGTTCTCTTACTAACTGGCCCAGCAGCATTTAAAACTTTCTTTTCCCAGTAACACTTATCACCTCTTTGCATAGTACATTAATTTGTTTTCTGTCTTTCTCCCTCCTACAGGATGTAAATTGTTATAAGGGCACAGTCCCTACTTTTTTGATTCACTCTCTAGAATAGTTCCTGGTATGTAATCAGTGATCAATGAGTATTTGTTGGATAAATATCACCCAACTCCTGACCAAAATCAATTAGGCAAAAGGTGGAAAACACACCCAAACTGGGTCAACATCAGGCTCTTTTCTGAGAGTTTAAACTTAGGACCAAGAGAGTCAGGTCAGTCTCTATGAGTAGATATAAAGTGATCTTTAATGTGAACACAGAATAAAATAGATATGTTAGAGAAATTGTCACAAAGAATATCCTGACAGAATTCAAGCCCCTGGTTTCATTTATCCCAATTACCAAAATGAATTTTATCCTTGATCTTTGAGAAACAGCTCAGTACCCTTATAGTAAATTACCTTTTTTTCTGGCTTGAAGTATTTTGGTGTTTTTTTCTTTGTCTATTGCTTACTATCAAAGGATTCTGTGCTAATATACTGTTCTGTGTTTGAACAGGCTCAAAAATAAACATCCTCAAGCCAATGTTCAAAATAAAAACAAAAAAGGAAAGAAAAATGGTAAAAAAGTTAGAGTTGCCATGCTTATTTTCAGAATGAATAATATATGTAAATATATGAGCAATGGTTAAGCTACTTTAATGAACTCATGGTATGACATGAAGGCAAACTCTTCGTGATAACATACTTAGGTACTGTTTATGGGAAAAGAGCTATTTTCATGTCTTCTCTAAAAAGATTACACACACATTAATTTAGGCTCTAAAGCCGTTTTTTGAAATTAAGTTTAGGACTACTTTTACCTCATGTTAATTTTCCTGAGGCCACAGCAAAGTACACCACTGGGCAAAGAGCAGCAGAAGAACCCAGCTCCAACAGCTCACAGCAAATTAAGGCTAGAGGGAAAACTAAAATGCATCCTAAACTGGCATTTAGAAATAACAGGGCTCTATCTTGAAGAATAGAATTCAGTCATTATCAACCTTACATTTCACGGGTACTTACCAAACAAACGCTGATGGAACAGAAATTTGCCAGCTATTAGTCCTATGAGAATGGCAAGTAGCCATAGAAGCACCTTCAGGATCCTCCAGCCAACTCCTCTAGGGTATTTATTTGTTACAAATGAAAAACAGTTTCCAACAACAATAACATTGGCTTCTGTTTGGCTATGAGAAACTGGGTCCTCGGCAAATATTAAGAAGTTAAAGAAGATCACCAAGTAAGCCACGATCAAGCGAGACCAGGGATGCTGGAAATAATAACGAAAGTCTTTACCCATCCTTCAAAACTTCAATTCCGCTGTTTACCTGTGTAAGAAAAGATACATAGGGTTAGAGCAGGAGAACAAATAGTCTCTCTTCCTATTATCTGTTCTGATTCGTAACAGCTCTATAAACAGGTATTTAGAAAAGATGCTACCAGGGGCTCCTGGGTGGCTCAGTGGGTTAAATGTCCAACTCCTGATTTCAGCTCAGGTCGTGATCTCACAGTTAATGAGATCAAGCCCCGCATCAGGCTCTGTGCTGACAGTAAAGCCGGCTTCAGATTCTGTGTCTCCCGCTATCTCTGCCCCTCCCCAGCTTGCTCTCTCACTCTCTCTCTTTCTCTGTCAAAAAATAAATAAACATTAAAAAAAATTTTTTTTAAAGATGCTACCTGGGGGCGCCTGGGTGGCGCAGTCGGTTAAGCGTCCGACTTCAGCCAGGTCACGATCTCGTGGTCCAGGAGTTCGAGCCCCGCGTCGGGCTCTGGGCTGATGGCTCGGAGCCTGGAGCCTGTTTCCGATTCTGTGTCTCCCTCTCTCTCTGCCCCTCCCCCGTTCATGCTCTGTCTCTCTCTGTCCCAAAAATAAATAAACGGTGAAAAAAAAAAAAATTTTAAGATGCTACCTGTTCCTCTCATGGTCCCAAGTCATGTCTGAGATTGAGGAAAGTAAATATTGTCCCTTCGCTGGCATCTAATCATACCTCTGACCACATGGGAGATGTGGAAAAGAAGAATAAAAGAGCAGGGGGAGAAGAGACATGAGAGGGCAGAAGAAGATTGTCCAAAATCGGGGTGGGGTGATGACTGAGATGACCTGTAGAGGTCACCCCAGGAGGAAATGCAGGGCAAAAACACAACACAATGCTTTTCCTCTTTTAGATTACTATTTTTAGGTTACAATCATAATATAGAGTCGTTTAAAAAATGAAAGCAATGTAGAAGCAAACTGAGCACATAGGAACAAAAAATAAACATCTTCCTCTGCCCCAATCCCTCTCCTCAGCATGATCCCTTAATAATCTGTACTCTCAGACCTTTTCCTATATGTTGTGTATGGACTTTTATACAAAGGTTCATAGACTAGTTGTCAAATAATTTCAACACAGAATAAGTCTTATGAAATAGCTGAGTCTATAGTACAGTAGTGAGTTACATGCAGGAGGGACTGGACAGTTCTGCTTGTGGGAAGTGAGGAAAAAGGGGAAGACTGCACAGAGGACAAACCCAAGTTCAGGGCTGAAGGATTAGTAGGAATTTTTCCCCAGTGGAGAAGGCAAGAATGCTCAATCTAGGCATTTGGAAAGGCACAGAGGCATTGCAAAATACATACTATGCCTCTATCTGTGGGTCCTAACCTCGAGGTGCATTGAGAGTAAAGAGCTTTCTTAAAACTCTTTTGTGCAGACCCCACTTCCAAAATCTTGCTCACCTCCTCCTTTCTCTTTGGGAGGCAGCCTGCCTATAAAGAACACAAGCCTACATTAGATTCACCAAGGCTGTGACTGGTTGTTATTAAGTCTATCCAATTGTGGGATGCAGTTTTGGTGAACCCATTTGGTGCTCAGACTAAGCTATATCTCTATGATTTCAGCAACAAAGCTGAATAAAAGCTGAGATCAAAGCATAACAATAAAACTGAATAAAAGCTGAGATCAAAACATAACAATAAAGGTAGTAATGTCACTGAAATCTGCCAATTCTTTTCTCTCCTTTCTCAATTTGTTTAGAACTGGGAGAAAAAAGGGACCCTTACAAAGCCTACAGCATATGACATCCAGGCTCTGTGTTGGATGTCTACATGCATCATTAAATTATTTTTATCATAACAACCTTCTGAAATACCATCATTATCATTCCCATCACCTCATTTTACAGGGAGGGAACTGAGGCTCACACAGATTATGTAACTGGCCCAAAGTCAGCCAGCAGAGCTCTTATCTGAGCCTCTGAAGTCAACTGTAGAGCCAAATCACCCAGTCAGTTCCAGGCATTTCCCCTGCCTTAGAAAGACACAGGTCCCAGCCCCAGGGATGTCACCCCTTGAATGCTTTCTGGAGACACATTCTTCTCCAGAGATGATTATATTAACTCTATAGAGTATACTTCTATACCCAGGCAAAAAATATATAAGTGGAAGAATCCTTCACAAATCCTGAGCACTTTGGTAAATTGATAAATTTCCCATTGACAAATATTCTCATTTCCACATGACTAAAAGCACAAAGATCAAGCCACAAGCCTGAAGTAACTCTAAGTCAATGGAAGACCTGAGAATAGGATCCCAGGCTCCCAAGTCCTGTCCAACACTCTGGGGTGATGGATATCAATCAAACCCACAATCTAAGTTAATGAAGACTTGTCTTAACTATTTCAGAAAAGCAATGTAAACACACAAAAGGACTGGAAATATAACTCAGTAAAACAGATAGTCTCTGTGCCTTCTAAGCAATTTCAAGTCCCTCGTGATCTTTGTGAATACTCTGAAATGTCTGTTCCCAGGGGCTGCGGCTCAGACAACTTAGAAATGGCGACTGCACAAGGATTTTTTTCCCTTTTTATGTTTATTTTTGAGACAGCATGAGCAGGGAAGGGACAGAGAGAGAGGGAGACACAGAATCCCAAGCAGACTCTGGGCTCCGAGCTGCCAGCACAGAGTCCAACCCAGGGCTCAAATTCACGAACTGCAAGATCATGACCTGAGTGGAAGTAGGATGCTTAACCGACTGAGCTACCCAGGCACCCCAAGATTTTGTTTTCTAATGTGAAGTTCATCACCCAGTAAGTATAGCAGTAGTTGGTTATCACATGAAAGAGAGCAAAGTGGTGAAGAACAAAAATGAGCATCATGCATTTTCATGATACTCAGTATGCAAGGATGCCAGAATGAGTTGTCAATTCAATTTCATGCAATGTTTTTAGAAATGTCCAAAGACCGCTATCACGAGTGACTACATAGAAATCATCTCAAGGCCAATGAGTCTTGAAGCAGGACTCACTCCTACATGCCCATCAGAACAGGGCATGAGTAACATCTATGAAGTTAAACAGGTTTCTAGGTTGCTTCTCTTACCAATGCAGAATTCTCCTGTAGTTGTCCCACCACCTCCTTTCCCCCCCACCCACATACAAGCAAGGCAGCAGGATTCAGAACACTGAATACATAGGATCTTGATTGCTTATTGAATAAATGCTTTGTGAAGGGTTAGCATATACTTATTTTATCATTGTTGTTTTTAACTTTAGAATCTTGTTTAGTGAGCTATGTAATGTCCACGTGCCCAAACTGAATTAGAACATTCAAAAAAGTTGGGAGACAGCTGTTCCTCTCCAGTACTTATATTATTTCAAGACAGAGAACTGTAGAGTTGAGCAACAATCCTGTACTTGTTGACCTGAACTCCCACAGGCATGCTATGAATGGTACCATCACCCCCAGGTTACACGTAAACAAAGATCAGAGTGGTTGCTGCCTATCCACATCCAGGAAGTGGAAGAGCCAGCATCTGAATCCAAATCCATTCCTAGCCCTTGATCTAATATATCATAAAGCTGGAAGTGTTTCTTCCAATAAATATTTCCCATCAGGTCTGCAGGCTAGTCTTTATTTCCACAAACAGATTCAGTGACTCACAGACCAGCGGAATTACTGGTCTATTTTATGCTAAACATGGCTGATATTTATTCTTGTTTCATATGCCAAAGCTGAAGTGAGGTCTTCCAGGGGGTCCCAAATTTCAAAGCCTACATAATAACTTGAATGAAACTTCTACTTATTCCCACTTCCTGACTTCATCCACAAGGTCACCCAAAGCTTGCCTAGTCATCTCAGCCCTAGGTACCAGGCATGCAAAGCACCAAAACTGTTTTCAGTTCTGTAGTTCACATAAAGCAATATGATCATTCAGTGACTCTAGTGCTAATAATCCAGGATTGAAATGGTTCAAACTGACTATGCTACACAGTATTCATAGTTTACAAACCCTTTTAATTTCTTTAAACTCAATTCTGCCACCAAAGCTGAGCTTTTATCTTAAATAAATGTGATCTATCTTAGGTCTTAGTATATTATAGTAAAATTATCGATTTATGTGTTTGTCCCCCTCACTGGGTCATAAGATCCTCAGTGAAGGGCTGTTCACTTCCAGGGCACAGCACGGGGACGGGCTCAAAGTGGGCAATCGATGGACATCTACTAGATGGGGAGGGGTGATCGGTACACTTAGAAAGAGAAGCCTCCTTATTGTTCAGGCAAGATGAGGAGACACAGCAACCTGCCATTACCTTTCACTAACAAAAAAAAGGAGAAAAAAAGCACTGGAACCCAAAAATTGCCACGCTGACTCACCACTGATCCCACCCAACAACATCTCATTTTACACAGATTCTGCATTATCATCATTATCACTAGGGCTAACATTGAGTACTTAACCATATACCAGGACACTATGCTAATGAGCTTTACAAATTTTATTTAAATTGCACAGCAGCCCAATGAAGAAAATACTCTTATTTTCACAAATTTGAACCTGAGACCTACGAATCTGTAATTTGTACCAAATAACAAAATGGGTCTGGGCCAAAACCAGGATACAAATCCAAGCCACTTGTCATTAACGCTCTACACCAAGCCTTCCCACGTAAAGGAAAAAATTCCAAAATCTTACCCATTACGTGTTGGTTAGGAAGTTTCTGATAACGAATCTGTGTGATATAAAAGATTCACAGTACTTCTAGGATGAATGAGTCTACTCATACTATTCCAGCGGACCTGGCTAGCATGATCAGAAAGAATCGGGGTCACGTAACTGACTACAGGATTGCTTGAATTTTGTTCTTCTCTGAGCATCAAGTGTAAGTAGTTGAGTTGATCTGCTTGTTCTTTTGCAATGCATCACTGATGCTCATTCTGTGATTTTCCAACTACGCCTAAAAAGAACACATCTCTGAGAGCTAGATTAATCCACACCATTCACTTCCCTCTTGTAAGTAATGACATGATTAGGTAGATGTCACTACCAGTATCTTGGAAGCCTCTGCTTTT